AGTTTTCTTAAACATAAATATATCCATCCATAAGGTTGATTTTATGTGGTAGTAATAGTTATTCCAAAACTCACTATACTAGTTGAATTAAAAGATATATATATAATCATGCATTTTCTTTTACAAGTAAAAAAATATAATGTGAATTTTTCTATTGATAAACAAAGCTTATCAGTAAAGAACTATTTTATTTACTAAGGAATTATACATTTGAGATATGGATCATAGAAGTTGACCTTGTTTCCATTGTCCATACCTCGCCAACCCAATGTAATATTATTTCTAAAAACCAAATGGTGGCTTCTTGTTTATGTTTTATTGAAATTACAAATTCAAAATAATTTGTTGTAACATGATTAAGAACTGAAGGTATAACTTTGAACAGACCATTCTTTTTCGTTTTCTTAATAAACTATAGCCGAACTTTTGCGAGGTAATAAATTAAATTGCAAACAACGTGTGTACAAAGAATCACACTCCTTGTTTAGAAAAGTCATGTGGTTTTACTAGTAGCAAATGAAAATTTCCTTCGATTTTAATAGTAAAAATTGAAATGTTTCACAAAAAAATTACATAGCTACAGCAGTAGACATGTCGATCCCGTGAAATGACGGATGACTGATAATGTAATTTATTAAAATTTCCTAATTAAGAGAAATATTCCATTAATATTTAACATGCGATTATCTCATGGGCGGAATATAACTCATGGGTTAATTATATGCGTCATATGAAAATGTTTCGATATTGTATAAAAGAAAATATAGAATTTAATGTAGAAAGTATATGGGATAGTTCTCTAACTCACCATTTTGATATAAAGCAAGAAGAGAATCTAAAGTATACAGATAGATAAAAAAATATGTTGATCACTTACTAGAAAAAAATTAGCCAAAAATCGCATTCATACTCCAAGATCGTCCATAGATAATAAATTAACCCATTCATGTTAAATATTACTTCAAAAATCCTCTGGGTATATGAAAAGCACTTTCTATGAAAGATCACCCATAGATAATAAATTAATTTCATACATCCAAAATATTACCCCGAGATTGCTAATTTAACTAAAAATAAGTGTGTTGCAGTTGCGCTACAGTCGTGCTAGATTTTTTCCTATATGTTTATATGAAAAATGATATACTCACGATACAGTTGTGCTACAGTCGTACTAGAATTATGTTAAAAACCTAGTAGATCATTTCTAATAATCGCAAATCCAAATCTTGGGTTAGATATAAAATAAATTGATATATGGGGTGTGGACAATAGAAACGGACCATGTTGTGAAAAAAGCAATTTTGAGTTAGTATCATTATTATATGTAATTCCTCATGTAGAACATTTTTGGCTTAGAAACCATACCCACCTTGCTTAATAAAACTTTGAGATACCCTCCATTAAAGTTTTAAAAACAATAGTAAATTACTTGAAATGCAGATCTTTT